AGGAGAGAGTTGAAAACCTTTGCAGCTGACAACAAAATTTCTTTTAACCCAGTACTTCATTTAAATATAAAAAATTTGACTACCATTAAATCCGATGAGCCATTTTATCAGGGTCATTTCGCGATGTTTAGTGGCATAAGAAAATACATGACACGAAAAATGAAGCTCAACACACTGTCAGGTGGCAAGTGTAATATACACCGAAATGCTGAATATTGGCCATATTGGCCGCTCAACATTTCTGGAGTGAAATCATGAGTTATTTTTATACTCTTCCATACATCCCCAAATGTTTATTTTTTAAATAATATAAACCAAGCATATTGTTCCACAAACCTGGCCAGTATTCCTGGACGATATGACACTGACGTCAGCTGGGTTTTCGATGGCAACAATGGCCCGAGCTGCCAGCAGAAGCTTCTCCCAGGTTCTCTTCAGATTGATGATGTAGATGCCTAGTGGCAGCAAAGGTGTTAGCACTTGACCTGGCTTTGCAAATGGACATTCTTCTGAACAGCTGGATGTGGCAGAGAGCACTATCAACTCCAGTCATAGAGGCAAGCTCTACTGGTGTCAGCGAAAGTCCTGCCATTAATATAGCACACTTCCGACACTCAGAAGTTCATCGGCCAAGACTGGCCTCCACCCCGAGCTTTAATAGTGTGCAGCTTTCCACCCGCAGGTCATCACCTCTTTCTCTGCAGAAATACCTATGAGTTGTTGCCCACTGTCTGGCCTCTCACTACTCTTCCATCTGCCTTGACACCGAATTCACTCTAAAACTCCATCAGAGCTGAAATCCCTCCGTGGCTCCATCTACAAACTGAGTAACTGCTTTACCCAGGTAATGCCTTCTACACTGTCACAACGTATCTTCCCTCTTCTAATACCTCCCAAGCCCAACTGCTAATCCCCTCTTCTCTTGCTTGACTTTCCTCCAAATTTGGTTGAACTAACCTCTATCAGCACCTGTGAAATTAAGGTACTATGGGAGGGGAACTCAGCTCATGAGCTTCGGCACCTCATCTCACACCTTCATGACCCAACTCAAGTCCCACGACCCTTTTCCACTGGAGCCCAGAAACCTTTCCTTCCAGCCACAGCGAGAACAGTTAGTTTTAAAGCCTGTTCTCAATGTAGAGACCTGGTTTTATTACTTAGTAGAGAGCCCTCCAAGGCAGAGGCAGAAATTACTTCACCCAGCACTTCTCCACAGAACGGCGGGAGTCAAAATTTGCCCTGAAAGGTGGAATGGCAAAAAAAAAAAAAAAAAAAAAAAAAAAAAAAAGCCACTAAAGCAATGACTGACCATCACTCTTCCTTTTGTAGATGTACTGTTCCATTTGGAAGTCAAGGTTGGTGCCACCTAGGTGGGTTCCTGCTGCAAGGAACTTGAGGACATCCTCCTCCTTCATTTGCAGGACATCAAGGGCTCCGGACATTGTGGAAAGTTTCCCTTTAAGTTACGTGGGAACCTGGAAAACAAAAGTTGACCATCTAGTCCTTTTCATTCCAGGGGGGTAGGGGAAGCAGGTGCGTTCTAATTACTCCTCAAAGCAACTTCATCTTTCAATGGAATCTAGCCCACCTTCTAGGTTGACCGTACAGTCCAGTGGGATGAGACACAACTGTACAGACTTCGTACACACGTAACTGCATCAAATCGTACTGAGGGGAGAGTGGTGTGGGGATAGGGAAACAGCCGGGTAATAAACTAAACGAAACCAACACTTCTCCAGGTACCTGGGAGTTAAGCTCAAGGTATAGATGAGCAGAGATGTGCGAGGAGCAGCCACACTCGAGAACATAAGCGGAGCCAAGGCAGTGGAGAGACGAACAGGTTGGCATTCAGCTAGCTCGTAGGTGGGCGCGTTGGAATTCACCTCTCCCGCCAGGAGCAATGAATTCCTTTTCCCCCAAACCCATTAGCAAAAAACGGAAGACCCGACGCGCCCCAGCAGCAGGTGTAAGGTGGAGCCTAGGCCTCTGGTTTCACAGCCAAAGCCTGGGGGTCCCAGGCGACCGCAGCGCGGTGCATCCCCCACTCTCCCCCTTTCTGAACCCGCGCCCACCAGCAGCTCGGACCGCACCCCAGCCCCGAGCCTGGGCTCCAGCGCCACCTCCGATGGCACTGTGGGAGCCCGCGGGCCCAGTAGGCCACGTGCGGGCCGCCGGGCCGATGCGGGGCGCGCCGGGCCCCGCCAGACCCGCTCCATCTGCAGGTCTCACCCCCGGTCCTCGCGCCCCTCGTCTGTGCAGGACGGAGGTTCAGGTGGCCCTTGGGGGGGATCGCAGGGAACCTCACAGGGGACTCACCGAGAACAACGCCGTATGGAGCCCTCCCTGGGTAGCGCGGAAAGGCCGTGCGGGCGGAAGTGACGTACTAATATACCCCGCCGCCAGCCAATGACAACCAAAGCCGGGCGGAAAAGGGGCGGATCCAGGCCTTCTCCTTCCGGGAGGCGGGCTGACGGCGCGGCGCGGGCTCTCGGAGCGGCGGATAGGGGCGCCCTGGTGCTAGCGGGGCGGAGCGTGACCTGGGACACCCCCCCTCCACCCCCCCCCCCCACCTCCTCCCCGCCAGCGGCGCCCCGAAGGCCGCGGCTCTCGGCGATGCTGCCGTAATCGGGTCCGGGGCGCGAGCCGGAAGCCAGGCCGCCTGCCCCGACGCGAGCCTTTTGTGCTGACCTGGGAAGGCGAGCGGGTCCCTCCCCGAAGCTGCAGTGTCCCTGCGTGGGAAGGAGTGTGCAACCCACAAGTCTGCGTGTTTGATGAAAAAAAGCTGCAGAAGCTATTGTCACTTTTCTGGAGGACAGTTTTACAAGTACGTAATTCAGATTCTGAAAGTTCACTTATGGGAAAATTTCCTGAAAAAATAAAAAGGACAAGACTGCACAGATGCATGAGAACTTTATTGGGGGGGGGATGTATACAAAATTGCAATATCCATCAATCGATTCGTTACTAAAAATTTACCATGTCGATACAATACTATTCAACCATTTAAAAAGATGATTAAAATTCTATGGTACAAAAGAGAATTAGAGGATGAGGGTGATTCTTAAAAAAACTGAAACGCATAAAAGTTTATTTTAAATGGCCAAAGTATTAATAATTATGTATACAGTAGGTTTCAACCCTGCCTGCACTTGGAATCACTTGCAAGCTTTTAAACATGCCTAACCCAAACCAAGAAAATCCGATTTGAAAAAATAGCTCCTCAAAAATAAAACGATAAAAAATAGTTCCTGAGATCATTTTAATGTACAGCCAAGGTGAGAACTACAGATGTACAAGTACAGAAAGTAGGTGGGGTTTTCCCCTCATTTTTCAGTATTTTTAAAAATGTTCTGAGGGACATAGGTTTGTAAATTCAAACAAAACCCCACTGCTTTTAAACAAAGCTGGCATAGAAAAGGAGTAAACGTAGAGGCTTGGCTTTCAGCATCCTTAGAAACTAAGCATCTGGAGACGTTTTGGCTCTCACAAAAGGGAAGACCTGGAGTAGCTTTATGGAAACAATGGCTGGTGGTTAAGGACTCTTGGAGAGCCTTCCGGATACTCCCAAACCATCTCATCAGCTCCCTCCTCTGCCCACCAGGGTCTGAAGAATACCTTCCACCGCCCTAACTGGTTTGGCACAGTGGCTAGAGCATCGGCCTGCGGACTGAAGAGTCCCAGGTTTGATTCCGGTCAAGGGCATGTACCTTGGTTGCGGGCACATCCCCAGTGGGGAGTGCGCAGGAGGCGGCTGAATCGATGTTTCTAACTCTCTATCCCTCTACCTTCCTCTCTGTAAAAAAATCAATAAAATATATTTTTTAAAAAAAGAATACCTTCCACCATTGTAACTACCAGGACGTTGTACTGTCATTACGTTTATGTGTTTGTTTCTTCACAGACACTAATATTTCCCCCACAAAATTAACTTTGCCCTTGGCCACTGATCTGCACGGTGAAAACGCTTGACGAGGAAAAGTCCTAAGATGAAAAATGCACTGTGGTGATAGGCAGTCCCCGTGAGGAGCCCTAGACTAAGAGGCACTTGTCAAATGGCTGTGGCTCCATTGCGCAGGCTCCAGGTCCTCTGCACAAGCACTTCCATCATTTTTTAAAAATATATATATATATTATTGATTTTTTAGAGAGAGGAAGGGAGAGGGATAGAGAGTTAGAAACATCGATGAGAGAGAAACATCAATCAGCTGCCTCCTGCACACCCGCTACTGGGGACGTGCCCGCAACCCAGGTACATGCCCTTGACAGGAATAGAACCTGGGACCCTTGAGTCTGCAGGCCGACACTCTATCCACTGAGCCAAACCGGTTAGGGCTCCATCATTTTTTTATTCATGCCCACTTGTGATGAAGAAAGATCTCAGAGCCTTCCTTTTCCAAACTTTGGTTTCTGGGCCTTGTATTTAAAAACTAAATGAATTATTTTTCCCCCAAATATAAAATTGTGCTAGGGACCATAGTATTTTGGACTACGCTTCACATGGCATTGGGTAGCGAAGAGATTTGAAGCTGGGAGAATATGGGGCATCTAATTGGCCCCAGGCATCAAGTTCATCTTGGGCATCTTCCCACCACGCTTCCTAACCAGACTTCCTTATCGCTCCTCTTCACCTGTCTGCCTGATACCTAGCTGTCCGATGGTCCTCTCCGTGCACTTTAGCTGTAGTGGCCTGAGCAATGACCCAAAATCCCTCTTCCCTCCTTTGTTCCAAAGCTCTCATGCCCTGTTACATGGTATGGTCCCTTCTGTCCACCGCAAGCTTTCCTCTGTATAACTTTTCTCCATCACTTTGCACTCTGCGTCTTAGGTTAAATTCATGCTTTGGAACCCCAGCTGTACCACCTTCTAACTGTGACTCTGAACAGGTCACTTAACCTCTCCTAGGAAATGAGAGCTGGTGATAATTCAGGTGCTGCCATCCTCCTGGAAGCGTCCCCCTGGAAATCCTACAGACGCAAGTGAATGCAGAGGCTCACCTGGTGTTATTTATGAACCAAGCAGGCATTTTTAATGTTTTATGCAAAAATTAAAGTTACAAAATTAAGTCACATGTATGTAAGCTTAAGAAATCACACTAACCAAAAAGGACACAACTATCCCTGAAATGGAAATGGGCCTGGAAATCCTGGGTTGCTCCCGTCAATCTTCACAGCATCCTCACCAAACCACCTGCCTTCTCCTGCAGGCCCAACAGTCGGATGCAAATGCCATCTCGAACCTCCGGGTTTAGGAACAGTCACCTCTGCAGGATGTTCACGAGCAAGTTCCCTGAGAAGTCAAAGTTCCCTGAGGTCCAGTGGGAAGAGTTCTGAGTCAGCTGGGCCACATCTCCTTTTCTACAGATGGGGAAACCGAGGTCCCAACACAGTCCACGTCACATAGGAAGTTAGAACATCATTACAATGAAAGCCCATGCCCAATCCACAGCTTGTTACTGTGAAGACACTGGTCTGCATTCAGATTTCCCTTTTAGTGGGTTGGGACCCAAGAGGCACCCTGGAGAATGTGTTCTGGAGGAAGCACAGTCAGAACTGAGGGCGTTTCAGGTGGGAAGGAGAGTGAACTATGACATAAAGTATCTGAGAGTGTTCAGTCAACATTCATTAAATCACAAGTCCCATTTGGTGAGGGGGTGACTGAGGGAACAGCAGATCATCTGGAATAGCCACGACCAGGACAAACGGAGCACTCCGGTAGTGTCGGTAGGGCCTGGCAGAGGACTTGGGATATTCTCCGAAGAAAATCTGGAGCATATTCTGTAGGCAGTGAGGAGTGTAAGGATTAACAATCGGGGGCATTTAGGGGAGACTTAGGGGAAACAGCTTAACTTCCAACTGATTAAAGTGGCCATGGAGCCTGGCTCAATGGTTGAGCATCAACCTATGAACCAGAAGGTCAGGTTCAATTCCAGGTCAGGGCACATGGTCGGGTTGCGGGCTCAACCCCCAGTGGGGGACGTGCAGGAGGCAGCCGATCAATGATTCTCTCTCATCATTGATGTTTCTATTTCTCTCTCCCTCTCCCTTCCTCTCTGAAATCAATATATATATATTTTAAAAGTGGCCATGGGACACATAGGTGGGGATGACTAGCATGTGGCTAGATAGGCATAGAGGTAATAAGGTGAGGTCTGAGGAACGGATAAAATAATGAAAAGACAGGCATCAGTCACTTGCTAAACATTTCTCACAGGGCTTCTCTCTGTCTTAAGGCACAGATGGAAGCTGGAATACAGTTATGAATAAGACCCATAGCCTCTGCCTCTTGGAGCTTATAACTGAACGGGGAGAGAGACTAAGAGCCACGACACAGTCATGTAAGTACAGTAGTGTTCAATGCTACAGAAGGAAAGCAGAGGGTCTCTGAATCCTGAACTAAACTTGGAAGGACAGAAGGGACTTGCCTATGGTGTGGAACAGAGTGTTCCAGGCAGAAACCAGCAGTTCAAAGGTACTGAGGCAGCGAGGAGGAAGCTGGAGAATGGGTGGGGGAGAAAACATGAAGGCATCAAGGACACAAAGGACAAGTAGAGATACCCAAGGTCAGACAGCAATATGGGGAAACGGGGACCAGAGGAAGACCACATAAAGGCAGTTCCTGAATACTAAGCCAAGAAGATGAGGCTTAACACCGGCACCACACTGACAGTGGAGAGGATGGGGGTGATCAGCAAGAGAAGTACATTGATAAAACAGTACACACATGGGGGCTGGACTTCCATGTTTTCATAACAGTTCAGGAAGTAAGAAATTCAGTAAAAAAAAAAGTCTAATTATTTACAAACTCCAAATACGCGGAGTTAAATCTTAGAAAAACAGCATACGTATACAAAACAAATGAGAGAAATACAACCAGTGACAAAAATTAGACAAAATGATACTCATTTGTCCTATGCTACAAAGCCTCACAGTTCTTTACAAAGTCTATGATAAAGAAGTCCTTATTTCCTAAACCGTCCCGACGTCAAAAGTACACGAATCTAGTTAGGGTTGATTCCATGACGAGCGACACTTTTATTGGTTCCTCGCGTAGAAAAAATTCCGTGTGCACCACCTTGTTGTTCACCTGGAAGAGAAGAGCACAAACTGTCCACGAGCCTGCGAAGCCCCGAGCGGGAAACCCCACGGGAGGAGGCGGCAGAACGCTGACCCCTGGGAGCGCAAGGCCAACATCCCTAAAGGGAGATGTCCCAACACGTGCTCGGGCCTGTGAGGCGGAGAGAGCATCGGACCGAGGAGCCCACAGACCTGGGCTCCCTCTCCAACTTGCCCCTGGGCCGCCTCAGGCCCGGCAGGAAGCCTTTCTGAGCCTTGGCACTCATGGTGAGATGAAAGCGTGTGAGTGCGTTATGTCCAACGTATCCAACAGCTGTACAATTCCAGGGGTGGCTGTCAGCACATCTGTCACCTGCAGAGGCCACCTCATCCTCAGTTCTGGACTTTTTTCACCAGTGTCTGTCTAGTCAGCAAGAGCTTACACAGGAACCATAGTTTGGAGAATGGCCAATTACAGTGATTTATCATCAGGTTTTGAATAGTCATTTTCTTCTCTTCTTTTTCCTTTCATTGACTTTAATTAATTTATTTTGTTAATCCTCACCCCAGGATATTTTTTCCATTGATTTTTTAAGAGAGAATGAAAAGGAGAGAGGGAGGAGGAGGAGGAGAGAGAGAGAAGAGAGAAACATTGATGTGAGACACATTGATTGGTTGCCTCCTGCCCGTGCCCCGACCTGGAACAGGGATCAAACCTGCAACCCTTTGGTGTACATGCTGACACCAAAGAGCTGACCTAGCACCCCTGTGCAAGTGAGCAACGCCAGCCAGGGGAAGTTTCTTCTTAATCTGGCATTTTTATGTGAAAAGAGAGTTAATTAGAAAAGGTTGCAAATGAGCACAGTAACAGCCAACACAAACACTGATTACATGGCCAAGGTCAATCTTGTCATTATAACCTTCTCATCAAGTGCATCATCTTTGGAGTGAATGAAGCACAAAGACCCTTGGAACTGACTTACTTTGGTGAAAAAGTCAACGATGTGCCACTTATTTCCATGCCGTTGATAGATTTCAGTCATTGCTTCGATCATCACAGAGCCAGTGCGGGGGTGCCGTAAAGCAACATGATCTACAAATTGAAACACAAACCTTTCGTCCATGTTCCTCCTCCACTTGCGTAACTGTTCTTGTGCCCATAGTTGAAGCCTCGGAAATGGCGTTGAACTGAGAGCACAGAAACACTCTTGCATTAGCAGAAGTGTGCCTGGGGCCATAACAGTTGGTCCATGTGACGAACAGCACAAAAACCTCTCAATAAGGCATTCTTTTAGTAAAGGTTTTCAAATATACACAAAGGTGGAAAGCAAAGTTTCACAATCCCCCATATAATCATCCCTCAGATTCAATGGTTTTCATCATTTTGACATTTGCTTCATTTTATCTCTCTTCCATTTTTAAAAAATATATTTTTATTGGTTTTAGTGAGGATGGGAGAGGGAGAGAGATAGAATCATCAATGATGAGAGAATCATTGATGGGCTGTCTCCTGCAAACTACCTACTGGGGATTGAGCCCAAAACCCAGGCATGTGCCCTGACTGGGAATCGAACCCTGACCTCCTGGTTCATAGGCTGATGCTCAACCATTGAGCCACACTGGTTGGGCTGGAGCTCATTTCTTTTTAATGCCGAGTAGTATTCAAAATATGATATACCATGATTTGCTTATCCAATCACCTGTTGATGGTCATTTGGGTTATTTAGAGTTTTTGACTATTTCAAATAACTATTTGTACACTATGAACATGTGTGTACAAATGACTATGAGGACCTATGCTTTCATCTCTCTTGAGTAAATAACCAAGAAGTGGAATCTTACATCTAACTTTAGTGGGGACATTTTTCATGTCTCACCACTCAGTATGTTTCATTTTACGTTACTGCCCTTACATCCTTAGCTTCCATTTCTTCACTAACATTTTATCTTGAACTGTATATATATATATATATATATATATATATATATATATATATATATACTTACATACTACCTTAATCCTTTTTGAAGGTTAAGATAAAAACAGCTAAATAAATGTCCTTGACCATTTACTTCTATCTTCTCTACATTTCCCTGTCAGGTCCACCCTTCAGCACATAAGATTTTTTAAAACTTTTAACTTATTAGTAACAGTATTAGTAATAATAATGATGTTATTAGCAAAATACATTAGTAATAATATTAGCTAATTTTTTGATATTTATTGTGCCAATTACGATAAGCACAGCACCTACATTACATAATTTAATTTACATAACATCCTAATGACATAAGTAAATTTTATCACTCATTTTACATGAAGAAACTCACCCTAGTCCTAGCTGGTTTGGCTCAGTGGATAGAGTACTGGCCTGTGGACTGAAGGGTCCTGGGTTCAATTCCAGTCAAGGGCACATGACTGGGTTGCAGGCTCCGTCTCCAGTGCGGGGGCATGCAGGAGGCAACTGATCAATGATTCTCTCTCATCATTGATGTTTCTATCTCTTTATCCCTTTCCTTTCCTCTCTGAAATCAATAAAAATATATTAAAAATATATATATACTCACCCTAGCCAGCTTGGCTCAGTGGATAGAGCATTAGCCTGGGGACTGAAGGGTTCTGGGTTCAATTCCGATCAAGGGCACATACCTCGGTTGCAGGTTCCTTCCTGGCCCTGGCCCTGGCCAGGGCTCGTGCAGGAGGCAACCAATCGATGTGCTTCTCTCACACTGATATTTCTCTGTCTTTCCCTCTCTCTTCCACTCTCTCTATAATCAATGGAAAAATATCCTCAGATAAGGATTAAAAAAAACAAACACAAGCTGACATAAAAAATATTGCAGGGTCTAAAAGATAGCAGTGACAGAGTTAGCTTTTGGGCCAACATCGTTTTCACATGACAGCCAATGACCTTATTTACTTTGTGGTACTTTACTCAGAGGTTGATGTCTTCCTGGAAGAAATGAACGGTAAGATGCCAACCTACCATTTCTGAAAATAGGAACCATTTTTGAAGGGAGATGGAGGAGGTAACGGACATCTCACAATCATCGAGCTTTGCTGTCTTACCTGCCTGGGTAGGATAGATGATGAAATAATCACTGAACGTGGGCAGCCTCTTCTTCTCTGATATGTCATCCAAGTCCATGGGTTCATCATCTGTTTCAACACCACTATCTCTTCTCTCTGTTTTTTGAGGAATGAAGAGACAAACTACAATGATATATCACTGACACCAGCGACCCTTAATAAACATCTCCGTGCCCGGCCAGCGTGGCTCAGTCGTTGAGCATCGACCCATGCACCAAAAGGTCGCTGGTTTGATTCCTGGTCAGGGCACCTGCCAGGGTTGCTGGCTCGATCCCCAGTAGGGAGCATGCAGGAGGCAGCCCATCCCAGTTGGGGCATGCAGGGGGCCGCCCACTGATGTTTCTCTCTCATCAATGTTTCTATTTCTCTCTCCCTTCTCCCTCTAAAAATCAATAAAAACATATTTAAAATTTTTTTTTAAATAAAATAAATGTCACCACGGCTTGTATCCTCATAAGAAGAGAGAAATAAGCTAAGTCAGATGTTAGTCCCACAAACCACCTGGAATCACCTGGAAGGTGGGACATCCCTTGGAAACTGTACACACCTCTCCCAGAACTTGAGGCTCCCAGACCTACCTCATGAAGTCAGTGACTTGGACTGTTCCTCAGCCCAAGTTAGCTATTCTATCCCAGGTAAGTTTTCCATCCATCCCTTCCTCCCAGCTCAGTCGCTAGTATAACTACACGACTGAAGTTACAACAGCTAAGGATCCTCTAATTTAAAATATATTATTTACTCATATATGTTTTTAAACCTATTCTTCTTTACTCTGTCATCAGTATGAGAATTCCCTAAAAACACGATGATTACAAAGACGTTTCCACTTACCTCCTCTGCAGGCCTGGATTATAAAGATCTTTGGTTTCTCCTTAAGTGCTGGACAATTTTTATTATTAAACATTTCAAAAATCTCTTCCAGGCTGACTCTTTCATCATCTCTTATTTTAAGAGAGCCTTTTTCTCCATGGGACATAAGAGTGACAAGGCAGCAGCTAATTTCATCTTTAATTTCATTTAATCCATCACGAAATGATGTTAGTTTTTCAAGTAACTCCTGTGAAATAGAATAATATATTAAAACTAGAGGCCCCGGTGCACAAAATTTGGGCACGGGTAGGGTCCCTAGCAGCTGCCGGCTACTGGCCGGGGCCTTTCTTTGTTCCGCACCACCCCGATGGTCAGCGCACGTCATAGCAAGCGAGCGAACTCCTGGTCGGTCAAACTCCTGAGGGGACACTTTGCATATTAGGCTTTTATATATATAGATAAGAACTGAAGGTGGGAGGAATTCAGAAACACAAGGAAGTGATCCAACGAGATGATAAATATGAAAATACCTACGTCTCTAACAGAGTTAGTATGAGGTAAATATTCGTTTCTTGACTTGTCACTCCCTTTTGGTTGCTCTCAGAATTCATTTGATTTCTTCTTGTGCTACTGGTTCTAGTTTGACAAAATTAGAGCATTTCTGATTATCTACCGCAAAATACAACAGAATTATAGCTCTTCAAAGGGCTGGTGTTTTTAGTTCTTAGTATTAACTTATTTTAATATATAAAAAGTATTTTATAAAATTAGTAATCTTAATAAGGTAGAAATGGAAGGGAATGGAAGAGTCCAGCCATTAATATACACCTGCCAGAGCCTATCAGCAGATGTTATCAAAGTCCACCCACAGGGGGCAGCCATCTCTACTCCCATGCATGTCCTAATAAAGACCCTACCCATCTCAATGAAGTAAAGTAAAAATTAAATGAAGTAGGAGGCAGCTGATTGATGTTTCTCTTTCATTGATGTTTCTAACTCTCTATCCCTCTCCCTTCCTCTCTGTAAAAAATCAATAAAATATATTAAAAATAGCCCTAACCGGTTTGGCTCAGTGGATAGAGCATCGGCCTGCGGACTGAAAGGTCCCAGGTTTGATTCCCGGCAAGGGCATGTACCTGGGTTGCGGGCACATCCCCAGTGGGGGATGTGCAGGAGGCAGCTGATAGATGTTTCTAACTCTCTATCCCTCTCCCTTCCTCTCTGTAAAAAATCAATAAAATATATAAATAAATAAATAAATAAATAAATAAATAAATATATTTAAAAAAAAATTAAATGAAGTTCAAATATTGGAAACAAAGAGCCAAAACTCATTATATACAGATAACATGACTATCTAGAAATATAAAATAAATCAACTAAAAAAACTGTTAGAATTAGAGATCATCAAGTTGACCAGATACAAGATGCACTTACAGAGTCTATATTCCCCCAATTACCCAGCAATAATCATTTAAGCCACATAATGGAAAAGGGGATCCCATCCATGGTCACCACAAAACTAAAATACCCAGAGAAAAGAAAAACCCAGCAAGGAATACGCATTACTAAGTGAAGAAAACCAAAAATATATATGTATTTGGTGAAGAGGGAGCATAAACAAACCATGACATGCTGATGCTTCTGGCTGAGATGACTCAATACTTTTAATTTGCTAATTCACTCCAAATTAATCTTAATTCGTGTCATGCCAATCAAAATCCCAAAGAATTTCTGTAGAAGTTAACCAGATGATTCTCAAGGCCATAGAGAACAGGTCATTCTCAAGAATACTAAGAATGTTCAGAAGAAAAAAAGAGTGGGGGATAAGTCTTATCAGACCTCAAAATGTACTATAAAATAGTGGTGAAGAAAATAGTGATATACTGGTATAACTACAAACAACTATGTGAATGGAATATTTTAGAATCCAGAAACTAATTCAAGTGCTCTCTATAGGAATTTAGTTCATGACAAAGGTGTATGTGAGAGAAGAATGTGTATCATTCAATAAATATACAGAGGACTGACTATCCATTTGGAAATAAAATTAGAATGACCTCCTACACCACGCTGTTACAAAACTAAAATTACAGGAAGAAGGTAAAACTTAATTTTAAGAAAGTCACAGAAAAATAATTTTAACTTTTTTAAATTGGGAAGGCAGTGGGTTTAATCAAGACACAAGAAAGAAGAGCCTATAAACAGAAAAAACTGACCAGTTTACTCACAAAATGTAGAAGACTTCACTATAACTTAAGACAACAAAAAGTCAAAATTTGTCAGAAGGCAAGTAACAAGGTAGGAGAAAAATATCTGCACTATGTTTTGTAAATGAATAGTGTCCAGGAAAATAACTGTAGAATAAGAAAAAGAAAATCCAGCCCTAGCCAGTTTGGCTCAATGGAGAGAGCATCGACCTGTGGACGGAAGGATCCCAGGTTCAGTTCAGGCCAAGGGCACATGCCTGGGTTATGGGCTCGATCCCCAGTAGGGGGAGTGCAGGAGGCAGCCGATCAGTGATTCCCTCTCATCATTGATGTTTCTATCTCTCTATCCTTCTCCCTTCCTCTCTGAAAACAATAAAAATGTAAAAAAAAAAAAAAAAGTCCAGTGGGGAAAAAAGATACAGATATTTCACAGAAGGAAAAAAAAAATGGCCGAAAGATGTTCAACCGAACTAATGACCTAGAAAATGAAACTTAAAACAGTGAAATTCTTTTGCCAGTAAGATTACGAAATATTTATAAATGAATGTTGACAGGATATAGAGAAAGGGGCTACATCCAGATCTTTAAGAGAATAAACCAAAAGAACATTAGCAATATCTGCCATCCGAATGGAAGGGACTTGATGAAAAATCATGTAACTCGGAAGAGACTCTGTACAATCCTTGGGATAAATGAAGGAGCCTGTTTTTAGCTTTGGAATAATAAAATCAACACTGATATGAGCACTTAACTATAAGTCAGCTACTATTCTGAGAACTTTTACATACAGAAGCTTATTTCATCCTCACAAGCACCCTACAAGAGAATTGACTATCATCACCCCCATTGTAAAGATAAGAAGGTAGTCAATGAGCCCTAGCTGGTTTGGCTCAGTGATAGAGTGTCGGCCGGTGGACTGAAGAGTCCTGGGGTTTGAGTCCGGTCAAGGGCACATACCTCGGTTGCAGGCTTGATCCTGGGCCCCTACCAGGGCCTATTCTCGAGGCCCATTCAGAAGGAAACCAAGTGATGTGTCTCTCTCACATCGATGTTTCTCTCTCTATCTCTCCCCCTCCCTTCTACTCTCTCTAAAAATCAATGAAAAAATATCCATTAGTAGTCAAATAATTTGAGGCAAGGTTTCTAAAACAATTTTATTATTGACATTTGGGGCCAGAACATTCTTTGCTGCAGGTGGCTGTCTTGGGCATTGCAGGATGCTTAGCAGCATTCCCTGGCTTCTACCCACTGGACACCACTTGCTGCTTTCCATATCCTTTGCGCATCTTTCTTTTGGGTTGTTGAGGTTTTTTCCTTTTTGATTTGTAGGCACTTTTTATTTATTAAGGAAATAGTCCCCCCTCCCATTTTAGTTATCAGTTGTGACAACCAAAAATGTCTCCACACATTGCCAAATGTCCTCTGGGGGACAAAGTCACCTTCAGCTGAGAACCAGATATAACGTAACACACCAGTAAGAGACAGGATTCCAACTCTGGCATCTGCACTGCATTCGCAGCCCCTCTGCTATGCTGCTCCCTGATGCTCACTAGCAGTGACTCCTGGGATCTTGAAGGGTTTTCCTATGTCCTTGTCCCACAATAATGGCAGCTCTAGGCCACTAGTGAGCTAGGGTCAGAGATCAACACGGAGTTCCCATCCTCCCCACTGCTCATCAATCTTATTTTTTCTGTGTCATCTACTTAAGGCACAAAGCAGTTCTGCCCAGGATTTCAGTAACCCACCTCTCACATGGTTCCAGGTAAGTCCCACAAGGACTTTTCAAAGCCCAGGGGCTCCAGTGTTGCTGAAATCCCTGACCTGGCCTTCTGCTGACCTCTCAAAGCCATTTCCTTGGTCTTCCCTTCTCCCAGATGTCCTGAACCTTGCCCACTCTGGACTCACAGCTCATCCTTGGGCCTCCTTGTCCATGTTGCCTAGGACATCTTCCTGAGTTCCCTTTCCCTCTTCAACTGCACAGCCCCAGCTAAGACTGAAACCCAAGAGGACCTGGTTGACTGGAAGGGGATTGGAGTGTCACACATCCAATTATAAAAGTACCAACAATTTCATCAGGATATACAGGTCACTGCTCAGCAGGTCCTGGTTCTTGCCAAGGTACTAAGGCCCCAATTTTTTTTAAAATATATTTTTTTATTGATTTTAGAGAGGAAGGGAGAGGGAGAGATAGAAACATCCATGATGAGAATCATTGATTGGCTGCCTCTTGCATGGCTCCACTGGGGATTGAGCCCGAAACCCAGGCTTGTGCCCTGACTGGGAATCGAACTGTGACCTCCTGGTTCATAGGCTCAAGCACTGAGCCACACCAGTCGGGCCCAACTATTTATCTAAAAAAAGGAAGGAAGCTTATAAAATCCCAACTACAATTTTTCATTTTTGCTTTTGTTACCTTTTTGTCAGGGTCGATGCATGACGTATATTCAAACTGGCACTGGCCAAGCCATTCCTTCATGAGAACAACATCCCGGTCAGACCCTGGCCTGTTCTTCTTCACACACATGAGGAAAGCGTTCCGCCTGCCTCTCAGGTCGTAACAGTCCTGTTTTCCAGCAAAGCCAAGAAACAATATTTAGATCAACCCACACTTGGAAAGCCAAATACAGCACGGATGGCTGACCCTGAACAATGCGGGTTGGAAATGCGCTGGCCAATGGAAAACTCCTTGTGTAAGTGGACCCCGCGCAGTTCCAACCTGTGTTGTTCATGAAACGGTACATGAAACGATGAGTTTCTTCTGGGATTAATGGTGAGATTTCCCAGTTCAGATCAGGGGCACAATAGTGATGGCCTCTCTTACCAGCTCTGGGGGTGGGGGGGGGGGGGGGGCGGGGGGGACATGACTTGATTTATAATTCGTTCAAATACCTTTCTCAGACCAGGACTAGCAGACCAATCTCAGAAAATTTCTATATACAACCATAGCTACCAGTTTCAGGAAGTAGGACAGACAGAGGAAAGTGGTAAATGACAACACAGGGTTGCAGTCATTAAAATCCAGAATGTGGGATATTTTACAGGAGATTCTGGTTTCTTCAACATATATGCAACTAGAAAAGGGTTAAAGAAGGAAGAAGTTTTTTGTGTTTTGTTGTTTTGAAATCCTCACCCAAGGATATTTTTCCATTTTTTTTAGAGATAGAGTAGAAGAGAGAGGGAAAGGCAGAAATATATTGCCGAAACCGGTTTGGCTCAGTGGATAGAGCGTCGGCCTGAGGACTGAAAGGTACCAGGTTCGATTCCGGTCAAGGGCATGTACCTGGGTTTTGGGCACATCCCCAGTGGGAGATGTGCGGGAGGCAGCTGATCGATGTTTCTCTCTCATCGATGTTTCTCACTATCTCTCTCCCTTCCTCTCTGTAAAAAATCAATAAAATATATTTAAAAAAAAAAAAAGAAAGGCAGAAATATCTATGTGAGAGAAACACATCAATTGGTTGCCTCCTGCATCCTGCACGCGCCCCATCTAGGGCCCGAGTGGGGAGGAGCCTACAACCGATGTACTAAGTGCCCTTTACCAGAATCGAACCCGGGACCCTTTATCTGGGTTCAGCGCTCTGCCCACTTTGCTAAACCGGCCAGGGTAGGGAGAAGTCTTAAGAGACAAACCAGTCAAATGTAGTTGGGTAGACCAGAGTTCTGATTCCAACAAACCAACTGTCCAATAGGAACCAGTCAAGGATATCTGAATGCTGACTGCATCGTTGCCAAGCTTAAGGGATTTGTTTTCGGTAGAAGTAGGGAATTACGGTTCTGTTTTGGAGAAACGCTTTCTCAGAAATACATACTAAAATAAAGTATATGCAGATGAAAGTGATAAGCTATCTGGATTTGCTTTAAAATAAGGGAGAGGCGGGACCAGATAAAACAGGACTGGCCATTATGTTGCTAATTGCTGAAGCACTAAGTGTGCTGGCCTGAGGTTTGGAGGAGCCATTTTTCCAGTCTCTCTACTTTATCATACGTTTAAAATATCCATAGTAAAACTTAAACAACAATTTAAAATAAACCTAAAGCCGGCAAACAGTGTTTTATCTCCAGTGGTCACTTTCTTTGACTTGTAAAATAGAGATAGTAGCAGTGGTTTGAACTGGCTTGCACTGTTATAACAGAAAGCAGTGAGATCTGACCACCGGAGATAAGTGAGTCATCTTTAACCCAATAGGAGCAGCACCTAAAATGTTCCAGTGGTGGCCAAATACTAGCTTTTAATAACCAGTGTGGGAGTAAGAGTGATGATATTTACCAAGTCACCGTCCACACAGTCATAGCTTCTCTTTAGAGCTTTCCTTGGGATCACTGGATGAATTTTCATGGAAAGAGAACAGAAAAAGAGCATTATTATTATTTTTTTTTTTTCTTCTTTTGAATCAAGCTCCTCCCAAGCATTTCAATTGCCTCTTACGTTTTTGGGTCCAGCAGGCTTCGATCTCCTTTTAGAACAGGTTCCTTTGGCTTAGGAATGCCCCCTTCCCCCAACTCATGAGGCTAGAACCCCAAAACAGAACTCCTTTAGGCCCTAGTGAGGTTCAGGGACAGAAAGACCCCAGCCAGAGGTTAAAAGGACAAGAACTAATTGATATTAGGCACGCGCACTTCCTGAGGAAGAGACCAAGACGTCAATAAAGAGAAGATGAAGTAAAGGAAATGGTAATTAAACTGTGATACAGAAACAACTAACGGAGGGACCATGTAAGCGCTGTGCAGGTGCAGCAAACGAAAGGGGAATCAAAGGTCAATGGGACCAGAATCCCGCCACAGGCCTTGTTTGTTGGCAATTACAGTTCTCATCCGTTGCCAACCTGCAAAAATCAGCAACGGCTCCGTACCTCAAACTCAACCAGATCATCGGCAGGCTGAGGGCACGGGCCAGGGACAGCACATTTCAGTGTCCACCTCAAAGCCTCCCATATACGCATTGCCTTGTCTCTGCCTCTCACTGTTCACTCATATATTACACACACATACACGGATTACACTGGGGGTGGAGGGACTAACTGTTTTCCTGCTGCGTGTCTTGATCCTATACCACATCTTCCCAGATTTTGGCCACGAGCTAACGGTGTGCAAGGAGGCGAAGACCTCCCTCCCCCAAACACCCACTGGAGATATGGCAGCGAGGATTCCAACACGGGGCTGCTCCTTGCTCACTTAAAAACCTCCCACATCACAAACCCTTGGAGGTGCAGTACTTGTTAAAAATGCTTCTCGGGCCTGCTGAGTCCCTCTGACCTCTGAGCCCGCCTCAAAACGCACGAGTAGATCCTGATGGCTATTCTTCAACTGGACACAGGGTTTCCTAGCCTGGAAATGGTGCCTACCCTGCCCACGCACCCCGGATCCCACCCCCACCCCTCCCCCACCCCACCTCCACCCCACTTCCCCGCCGCAGGTTCAATTAGTCCCTCGATGCTCACACCCTCCTGGTTCAGACACCCCCACCCACCCCCTTCCTGCCTCTGATCTGGGCGCGGAGAGGCCCCTGGGGACCCGCTGGAAATCCCCGGGCGGGCCGGCAGGGCGGGAGCCCGCGCCCCGCGAGGACCACCTCGGCCCCAGGCTCACCCTGGCCGTCGGCGGGGTCGCTCTGCCAGCGCGGCAGCAGGTCGGTGCGGGGCAGCTGCCGCAGGACCTTGATGAGGACGCGCGGCGCGGCCCACGGGTGGTAGTGCTTGGCGAGGAGCCGGGCCAGCCCCCGGGTGCTGCCGCCCTCCAGCTCCAGCTTCAGCGCGGTCACGCGCGGCTCCTCGTCCACCTTCTGCAGGATGGCGCGGAACTTGCGCAGCTCCTGCGGGGACAGCCACTCCAGGGTCTCCTGCACGCGGCTCTGCATCTCCTTACAGGTCTGCGTGGTCTCCCCGTTGGTCTGGGGGCCGTCGGGCCCCGAGAGACCGCCGCCTTCGAGGCTCCCCTCCATCTTCGCCCAACCGATCGGAAGCCCCCGGAGGCCCGGCCAATCCGAGGAGCTCTGCGCCCCGCGCGCCGCTCACGCCTCCCGTCTCTCCTCTTTGTTTTGAAAAAAAAAACACGGGGCGGTTCCGCTTGAATTGCTGCTGCCGGGCCTATGGCCGCTCCCGCCTTCCCTCCAGCCCCGCCCCTCACCCCAGCTCCCCTCTTCCTCCAACGCGCTCCCGCCCCGTCCCCCCAACGAGCTCTGACTTAACCCTTGGAGCTCAGGTTGCGGGAGCTGAAGGAGGAATCGAGCCTGCAGGGCTCCCCCGTGGTCCTCTGCCTTGGGCTGCTGCGCGTTAGGGCCAATCACCCCAAAGCGCAGCAGCCCAAGCTCTTCGCGCCCAGGCCACCACCTAGGCTGCAGATATTAGGATCTCTGGGGGGGCAGACGCGGGCATCAGTAGGTTTGAAAGCTCTCCAGATGACTCCAGTGGTTATCCAAGTTTGAGAACCACGGACCTTACACTCCAGGGTGTTTATCAGCTCCCTAGCCAGCGGTTCCCAAGGAGCCAGCACCTGGAAGCTGAAACATTAGAGGCTGCTGCATTGAACCAACTTTTGGGGGAGACAGCCTGGGGACAGAAAGCTGAGATTTGAGAAGTTGGTATCAGCAAGAAGTTAGAAGTGCACACTGCTCAGCCTGTGGGATGAAACAAGACTGACCATTATGTTGCTAATTGTTGAAGCAGGATGAGTATGCGGGGCTGCGGTTTGGAGAATCCGTTTTTCCAGTCTCTCTACTTTAGTATATGTTTAAAATATCCATCATAAAACTTAAACAACAATTTAAAAAAACCTTGGTGAGCAGATCTCAGTTTCACAATCCCCAGAGTCTTTATTGCTAGGTTCCCTGGCTTGATTAGGCCCGTGGGGGGGGGGGGGGGGGACAGTGACTCTAATCACGGTTTGCCCCCCACAAATGACTCACCCTTTTGAGCAGCTGGTGAAAGGATCTCAGGACCTTATTTGAATCCTGATTCAAATAAACCCTATTGTAAACATTTTTGAGGCAGTTAGAGTGCTGAAGGAGGAATGCAGGAGGCCCAGAGTGGTAAAGAACTATAAATTCATTGTTACATCTACGAGCAGAAGGCCTGAGACCAAAATGGCGTCAGCGGGGCAGAGGAGAGGGAGTGGAATATTTATGCCTCTTTGTCAAGGTCAGTCCCAGTAAGGGGTGGGACCAAGTGCAGGTGGGGGCCGGGTGTAGGTGTCCATTGGAAACTGGGTGAGGTGGGTTACTGGAAACTGAAGTCGGTTATTCAGGAACCCAATCGTGAGAATAACAGGAAAATCGCCGGGAGGAGCAAGAGCCCCAGGCAGGGGCTTGTAAGAAAGTGCACCGCAGAGACCAGAGAAATGGGAATATAGGCTGGGTATTGGAGGATATACCAAAAAATACTGACTTTTTCCAAGTGGGATAATAACATTGCAGTCATGTAAAAAAAAACACACCAAACTGTCTGGTTTTTTGAGATGCACATTGAAGTGTGGAAAGGTGAAAGGTGTGATGTCTGGGGTCTGCTTTTAAACGCTTCACAAAGGACAAAAGTGGGGGCAAGAGTGGAGAGCCACACAAGAGTGGCAAATCCTGGTACCTGTTCCATCGGGGTGATGTGAATGAAAGGCCATGCACACCATTTGCTCCATTCCTGTGATTGTTTGGAATACTTCCCAATGTATATGCGGAAACTGAGTATAATGGCAGCTTGAAAGCTTGGCATCTGTCCTCTTTTAGCTCTGCCTTACCAGGTCTCTCTCTCTCTCTCTCTCTCTCTCTCTCTCTCTCTCTCTCTCTCTCTCTCTCTCTCCTCCCATGAAGCCCTGCCTCTAAGTAATTTGTCTGAGGCAGCCAAGAAATGAATCCATTTAAAAGAAAAGGGGGGAGGGGGACAGTGAGCCCTGTTTACAGTCACTTCCTTTCTGAAATTTAATATCCTTGGGAGACTGCAGAACAGGAAAAAACAAACTCTTGGGGCCTGGGATATGCAAACCCCAGGGTCACTTGCCTCTGGAATCAAGGTTCACAAAGGCAAGTTTCAGTTTTACCCCAGGTTCAGAGACAATTAGACTATTTCTCCAATCTTTTGATTATTTGACCCAAAAAGAACAAATGAAGAGCATGGAATGGGGTCTCTGGTGGCTGAAATTCACCAGCCAAGTGTAAGGTCGGCAAATCTGCGCTGGGATGAAGCCCACGCCGCTGGGCCTCACCTCTGACCCTCCCCTCCCAGGGGCCTCACTGACTTTAGGCTCCAGAGGCCCAACATGAGAATCAAAGGAGCCTGAAGCGGCCCTCAGAAAGGACCTGAATGCCAGGGCTGAGTCCTTAGGAGACAGCCGCTCCTCCGTGTTTGTGTTAACCTGTCTCCTTCCTGTCCCAACACACCATTTCCAGTCCTAAGTGCTCCCCTGCTTTCCCCAGCACAAGGCCTCACCTGACACCAAGCACTAGGGACTCAGGTGCCACTATGAGGTTCGTATCCTACTCTGTTCTCTCCTATACTCCTTCCCATGTGATTACAAAATAAAAATAGCCCCATCCGGTTTGGCTCAGTGGATAGAAAGTCGGCCTATGGACTGAAGGGTCCCGGGTTCGATTCTGGTCAAGGGCACATGCCCGGGTTGTGGGCTCAATCCCCAGTGGTGGGTGTGCAGGAGGCAGCTGATCAATGATTCTCATCATTAATGTTTCTATCTCTCTCTCCCCCTCTCCCTTCCTCTCTGAAATCAATAAAGATATTTTAAAAATAATAATAAAATAAAAATAGGGCATTTTAACCTTAAGTATAAACTTATAAATCATTGAGCTTAATGTTATGGGTTGATTTGTTTCCCCCCCAAAGATGTTGGAGTCCTAAGCCCCAGTTATGCAAGTGTATTTGGAAATAGGGCCTTTGCAGATGTCATTGAAAGGGCGAGGACTACGCCCTCCATCTTACCCTGGGTCCTCCATTTTTGGGCAGAGCCATGTGCTCGGCAAGGCTTCTTCCCAGAAGCCCAAGCCTCTGCTAGCCACACCCAGGATTTCTTTGGACTAACCAATGATAATCAAGGGAAGTGCACGCCATCAATATGACCACATCCTGTGTAATGAGACACCGACTTGCGCCTGGCCAGTCGGCGGGGCCCACAGTCCCCTTTCCTGCCCTTACTCCACCCCCCTATAAAACTCCTCGTTCCATCAGGCTAGGCCTCTCTATGCCACCTGCTGCTGTGTCAGTAAGGAGGGTGGGGGAGCCAGACCTAGGTTTGAAATAAAGGACTCTTTGCTTTTGTATCGGACTCGCTGGCTCCCTGGTGGGCTCTTGGGAATCTTGAAATCTGGGCATAACATCATCAAGTTAAGATGGGGTCATTCTGGAGTAGATGGGCCTTACTCCAGTGATTGGTGTCTTTAAGAGAAGATGGAGCCCTAGCCGGTTTGGCTCAGTGGATAGGGTGTCGGCCTGTGGACCAAAGGGTGACAGGTTCGATTCCAGCCAAGGGCACATATCTTGGTTGCAGGCTCCTCCCCGGCCCAGGCCCTGGTCGGGGTTGGTACAGGAGGCAATCAATCGATACATTTCTCTCCCATCAATATTTCTGTATTTCCTTCTCTCTTCCACTCTCTCTAATCAATGGAAAAATATCTTCGGGTGAGGATGAAAAAAAAAAAAAGGAGAGAGAAGGTGGGAATTTGGACACTTAGAGACACACAGGCAGAGATTGGAGTGGTGAGTGCCAAGAATTGCCAGTAGCCACCAGATGCTGGGGGAGACAAGGAACTAGAGCCTTCAGAGTATGGCCTTGCTGACACCTTGATTTCATGCTATAGCATCCGGGACTGTGAGAATAAATTTGCTGTTTAGAAGCCACCGTTTGTGCAAATTTATTGTGGCAGCCCTAGGAAACTAATACAAACTGCTCATTTAACCCTCACCACCACGCTAGGGTTAGGAAATGTTACTACCTCCATTTTCTACACAATTTTAAGTGTGTCCAGTAAGTGGAGAGCCAGGCTTTCAACCTGGATCACAGGTCATATTCTTAACCAGGAGACCAAACTTCCCCTTTCTGGTGCTTAAAGTAACAGCCCTTTCCTAAGCTTGAAAGTTGATAGAAAAACTTGGATGGCTATAATAAATAACAGGCAATAAATATCACGTGTTGAGGAAAATGTGGGGAAATTGGAAACCTCATACACTGTTGCTGGTGATGTAAAATGGTGCAGCCACTTTGGAGAACAATCTGGTAGTTTCTCCATTGGTTATAGTTAACATGTGATCCAGCAAATTACACTCCTAGACCTAGAGGGGTGGGCAAAAGTAGGTCTACAGTTGTGAGTACAGGAAAGTTTATTCTTATATTATTACTAGAGGCCTGGGGCACAAACATTTGTGCACTTGGGGGGGGGGGGGTCCCTCAGCCTGGCCTGTGCCCTCTCGCAGTCTGGGACTCCTCGGGGGATGTCCATTTGCTGGCTTAGGCCCGCTCCCCAGGGGATTGGGCCTAAGCTGGCAGTCAGACATCCCTCTGGCACCCCAGGAGCCCTCAGGGGATGTCCACTTGCCAGCGGGGAGCAGGCCTAAGCTGCAGTTGGACATCCTTAGCACTGCTGAGGAGGCAGGAGAGGCTCCCGCCACCACCGCTGTGCTGGCAGCCGTCAGCCTGGCTTGTGGCTGAGCAGAGCTCCCCCTTTGGGAGTGCACTGACCACCAGGGGGCAGCTCCTGCATTGAGCGTCTGCCCCCTGGTGGTCAGTATGTGTCATAGTGACCAGTCATTCCCAGTTCTGCTGATAGGGTCAATTTGCATATTACCCTTTTATTATACAGGATTGATTACTAGAGGCCTGATGCACAAAGATGTGTGTAAGAATAGGCCTTCCTTCCCCTGGCTGCTGACACTGCCTTCGCTCTGGCCCAGAACCACCTTTCTGCCTTCCCACGCTGCCCAGAAGCCCGGAGTGGCTGTGCGTGTGCATGCTTCCCTACAGGCCCACCATCTTTGTCGGTTTAATTTGCATACTCACTTATGATTGGCTGTGGGCATCATGAAGGGATGGTCAATTTACATATTTATCTATTATCAGTATAGATTATATTACTAGTAGCCCTGGGCATGAATCCATGTGTCAGTAGCTCGCTGCCACCCTCCAGGAGCTCCCCCCGCCAGTCCCCCCTCACAGCTTGCTGCCCTGCCCCCTCCTGTAGCTCTCCACCACCTGCTTTTAGCTCGCTGCCTCACCCTCCTGCTGATCCATGATCCAGTCATTACGTGGTCGGTTGTTATGCTTCACAGCGTAACAACCATTTGCATATTACATCTTTATTATACAGGATTTGCATTATGCAAATCTATTTTTGGCCATCCCTGTATATGCAAGGGAAACAAAAATATACATCCATACTAACATGTGTACATGAATGTTCATAGTGGCATCATTCATAAGAACTCCAAAGTGGAAACAAAATATTAGTTCACTGATGGATAAATAACATAGGGTCTAGGCATACAATACAATAGTATTCTGACATTAAAAAAGGATAAAGTGTTGGATATGCCACATCATAGATGAACCTTAAACACATTATGCAAAGTGAAAGAAGCCAGACACACAAGAACCTACATATTGTATGGCTCCATTGACATGAGATATAGAGAAAAGGCAAATTTAAGACAAAAAGCAGACCAGTGGCTGCCTGGGGTCGGGGTCCGGAACGAGGGTTAACTTTGAGAGATCTTAGGGAGGGATAAATGTGTTCTAAAATTGATTGATGGTGATGAATGCAATAAAGTTACTAAAAATCACTGAATTGTGTATTTGTAATGGGCACACTGATGACAAGTAACATAATGCTGTTTACAATTTAGGTCCTAAAACTTAGGACCTATCTAGGTCTTAAAACAGAGTGATGACACTACTTAGGTTTTCCAAGCAGTTTTCAATGATAAAGTGCTTCAATTTCTTTATCTGGACTTCAGCTGCAGAAAATGCCAGAACTCAGAGTTGAAACAGAGCTGGGACAAAATAAAAAACCTTTATTTGGACACTGAGAGGCTAGGAAGCCACTGTCCCCCCTTCTGCAGAACCTCTGCCAGGTTAATAAACTAATTAAGTCATCATGACACCTTTTCTTTCTCATCCCAACATCATCTCCGGCCTGGTGACAGGGACTCCTCTTTCTGCAGAACCAGCGCCCTGCTGGAGTTCCTCAGTCACGGCAGGTGGCCCACAGCTTCTCTGGCTTTGCAATTCCTTGCAAAGAACAGACCCAAAGAGGCACCGTGGTATAGGTGGGTGGCTGAAGTGGAGACCCCCGACAGAGCTCTCTCCCTGGAAGTGCTTTCAGGTTTGCAGGGTGTGCAAGCCCTTCTGCAAACTCCCCCGTGTGCTGTCTGTCTCAGTGGCTCCTCTTCCGGGAGATACTGAAAGCTCGAGTCTGGCCCACCTATTCGCTACGTGAACTGGGTAACAAGGTGACACATCTGCCTGGCTTTCCCCACAGGACTTCACCTCAGTCCAGGTTAGAGATGAAGCAGCTCTCAGCAGAAACCAGGCAGGGCACCAGATCCCATCTTTTCCCAGTGCTGCTGGGTCAGGACTTCAGGCCCATCTTGGCCATCATCTCTTCATAGACTGTCCATGCCATGGCTGCCATCAGAGTCCTGCGGAGGGCCCGGGGGACGCCGCCTTGGAAGAAGCCACGCAGCCCATAGTCCTAGGGGGGAAATGAGTGTCAAAACTCTGGTAAGTAGCAATATAATTATATACCTGCCACAAGAGTGAGGTCTCTCTGTACCCCATTTTTGAGTCTGAAGACTTTTATAAATAATGTCCAAACTATGACTAGTGAGCTCAAGAAGACACTGAACTTTAAAATAATTTTTTTTCACCCTGAAAAGAGGCTATATTTCCAGAGGATGGTCAGCCACACTGCAGTAGGGGCAGAATTTGGAGGTCCCATCCACTTGGACTCCAAAAACCCAGGCTTCAACATTTGCTGTAGAAATAGTCTCACTTTGTGCTAAGTCCCAGGGAGGCCATTCTTACCAATGAGAGGGACAAGAAATGGATTTGGCAACCTTTTATAGGACAAGCACTTTGGCGTCATTAAATTCATGACATGTCTAGTATTGTCCCTTACTCCAAAGGAGCTTCTGTACATTTTAGTATTGTATTTCTTTCATTGGGTTTGAGTTTTCTAAGCTGAAAATTTCCTACTGAAATTAATATCCATGCAATTACCATAAAGTAACATTGTAATAATTTTTTTTTCTTTCTTACTTGCTAAACTTTCTTTACAGGTTTACTCCCTCCCCAGGGGATTTATTCCTTAGCTGTACAGGTGTAGAGCTTGTGCAGTGCACAGAAGCACTAGGTCCCAGTGGCAGCGGAAATCCAGACCAAGGTCTGCTCGCCCAGCCCTGGGCCCTGGCTCCGGGCAAAAGGAACAGGTGCCTTTTTGGCAATTTCTCTGGGAGCTTTTTAGGGAGGGGGGAGGGGAAGGGGGGTAACTCACTGTATATTCTTGATGGCTCTATATAAGAATTAAAGACAAAACACCTCTTTTTCATCCCCCATAATGTAAATTGATTTGTTCATTCCTATTGTTATCATTCCTGCCATTTTTCATATACTGAAGAATACATTTCGGGTAGGGGCTGGGGGAGGGGGGGAAGCAGGGAAATGGGAGATATCTGTAATACTATCAACAATAAGTATATATATATACATATATATATACATATATATATACATATATATATATATATATATATATGAATATATTTCAGACTATGTGACTTTAGGTACAGAGAAGAAGGAAGCAGGCAACCTAAGCAGTGTGAAGATAAGATCAGATTCAGAAATATCTGCTTTTATCTAGGGTGGAACCTGATGCATATGCTCAGGTTTCCTCTGCTGCATAGAGAAACTGAGACGTACAGAAAAATCTAAAGATACAGGTGATAAATTTACCGCAAACAAGAGTATCTGGTGGGTGATAATAGTACATGTTTCCCAAGGGCCAACTCAGTGGCTTTAGATAGTCCTTCAAAGCATTTATGTCTACTGTGCTTGTTATCTTCAGTAACATCATTTATATAAGAGCAAATGTGAGAAACAAAATGTGCTTGTGGTTTTTTTGACTATATTTCCTCCTGGGTCCTTGACAAGCCCCCCCCCGGATCGCCTGATTCAATAGGTCTGGGCTACCCCAGACAATCTACAATCTACATGCTTAACAAATATCACAGGTTGTCCTAATGTAGGGCCCCTGGTAAAACAAACAAACAAACAAACAAACAAACAAACCACTGACCACAGGTTTTCAGCAGTGGCTCTCAATCTTGGCAACACATTGGAACCACTGGGGAACTTAAAATTCTGATACCTGGGTTTCACCCCCCAAAAATTCTGCTGTAATCAGCCCAGGTTGTGGGGATTTTTAAAAGCTCCCCAGGTGATTCTACTGGGTAAAGGATAAGGGCTACTGCTACTCTAGAGAGAGTGCCTTAAGCACAATCACAATAAGAACAAATATTGATTGTACAGCCTTACTTTGAAGATGATTGTCACTGCCTGGCCAATCCACCGAAATTTCACTGGGGAGAGCTGCATATGAGTTTTGATAACATCTGCAGGCTGAGTCACCAGTGAGGCCAGAACACCAGCAAATATCCCACAGCTGAAATTTACAACAGGAATAAGGGCTGCATCCAACTGGTCTGAAATAGGACAGAGGGAACATTCAGTTGTAAATAAATCTCATTCATCAGATAAGTATCAATGCCAAGTTGCCCACTAATTTTTCCCCATAGCCAGAAGGGCCTGGATTCAAACAAAGTTAAGAATTAAAAAATTTAAAGGTATAACGAATAAGTGTTGATGGAGTGAAAATTCACCTTTTTACAATCATCACAATTGATTCAACAAGAACCAATGACTAGTGTTCAAACATAGGGATGAAGGGAACGGGAAGTTTTATATGGATTTATGTAGTTTCAAAGTATCTCCCCACAGAGATACAAATTACAAAATAATAATAATAATAATAATAATGATAATAATAGAGTTTTCAATGGAGATGCTACCTTATCCACATGATAAAAAGTTAACATTACCCACAATGTGTCAGACTAATGTCATGAGCTTCCCGATATTAAGGTACACAATATCACTTACGTGGTCCTCTTGCAATCTTAGAATCAGGCAAATTTAGGAAGTATTCTTAAGGGCCTATGGAGAAGTGCTCTGTTCTGCCCCATCCCCCACCAAGAATTACAGTACATCCCTTTCCAAAGGCTGCACGTGAAAGAGCAGAGACCACGTCTGTGCTGCCCACTGCACCCCAGCGCCTGGCCCTGGCTCAGTTCTTAAAACTCTGCTGAGGATCTGGAGCTGCTAAGAGTAATGAACAGTTTCACAGTCGCAGAGAAAGTGGTGAGAATGCGTTTCGGGAGATCTTTTCCCCACCACACCTTCCTTTACCCGTACCATGGGGCACGATGGCTTTGGTCTGGTTGTAAAACATTAGGTAGATTCCAGAAAAGGGGGCATCACGAAGGAGTGTCGCCGTCAGGCCACTGAAGAGGCCCCGGTGGCCCTCGCTGCGGTAGATGCTCCGCAGGGCTGCGTAGACGCTCTCGTAGCCGTACCTCCCGCTCTGCAAAGGAAGCACAGAACAGGGGCTCGCACAGTGGCCCTGGGTGTGAGCACTGAAGCAAGCCAACTGCAGGGTGGGGGGCCTTACCAGAGCACTGGGGCCTTGGCTCACACATGTCTTGGCCTGAATACTCAAATGGGTTCTCTGGGAGGTGACATCAGTGGTCACTGGACTCAAGGAGCTTCAGGCCTCTGTTTACCCATCCCGAGGGCCTAAAGCGGTCAAACTCACCTCGTAACGCGTCTTGATCACAGTGATAGGCGACATGCAGACCCCTGCGACCGAGCGAGAGCCCACCCCCAGCATGACGGACTCCATGGCAGTGGGGGGATGGCCTCGCAGGAAGTATTGCTTCAGAGAGTAGAGAGTCCCGAAGTAGATTCCAACACCAGGGACACACCTCACAATGGACTGCAGGGAAGCGGGGTGGGAGTGGTAAGAGTTGGAGGAGGAAAGAAATCAAAGACGGGCACTATCAGATACTGTCTTAGCTGGGTTTCCCCAAAGGACCCGGGATTTGCATGCAAGCAGTTGGTTTAAGCCTTAAACTTTAAGGTGTGGAGGGAACACCAACAGGAGAGAGGGAAGATGGTCAACAGAGGGCGTGTTATCTAATCAGTTACTCCCATGGGCAACGGAATCCCTTTGGGGAACTCTGGGCATAGGTGGAGGGCATGCCTCAGAGTTACCCTCCACCCGAGGAGGGGAGTGAGGTAGAGGCTGCACTAGCTTGTTAGAGTACAGGCGCACTAGACCTTGTTAGTGTACAGGCGCACTAGACCTTCTTACAGTACAGGCGCACTGGACCTTCTTACAGTACAGGCGCACTAGACCTTGTTAGTGTACAGGCGCACTAGACCTTCTTACAGTACAGGCGCACTAGACCTTGTTAGAGTACAGGCGCACTAGACCTTGTTAGAGTACAGGCGCACTAGACCTTGTTAGTGTACAGGCGCACTAGACCTTGTTACAGTACAGGCGCACTAGACCTTGTTAGTGTACAAGGCGCACTAGACCTTGTTAGAGTACAGGCGCACTGGCCCTTGTTAGAGTACAGGCGCACTGGCCCTTGTTAGTGTACAGGCACACTGGCCCTTGTTAGTGTACAGGCGCACTAGACCTTCTTACAGTACAGGCGCACTAGACCTTGTTAGAGTACAGGCGCACTGGCCCTTGTTAGAGTACAGGCGCACTGGACCTTGTTAGAGTACAGGCGCACTGGCCCTTGTTAGAGTACAGGCGCACTGGACCTTGTTAGAGTACAGGCGCACTGGACCTTGTTAGAGTACAGGCGCACTAGACCTTGTTAGAGTACAGGCTCACTAGATCTTGTTACAGTACAGGCGCACTAGACCTTGTTAGAGTACAGGCGCACTAGACCTTGTTAGAGTACAGGCGCACTAGACCTTGTTAGAGTACAGGCTCACTAGATCTTGTTAGTGTACAGGCGCACTGGACCTTGTTAGAGTACAGGCTCACTAGATCTTGTTACAGTACAGGCGCACTAGACCTTGTTAGAGTACAGGCTCACTAGATCTTGTTACAGTACAGGCGCACTAGACCTTGTTAGAGTACAGGCTCACTAGACCTTGTTAGAGTACAGGCTCACTAGATCTTGTTACAGTACAGGCGCACTAGACCTTGTTAGAGTACAGGCTCACTAGACCTTGTTACAGTACAGGCGCACTGGACCTTGTTAGTGTACAGGCGCACTGGACCTTGTTAGTGTACAGGCGCACTGGACCTTGTTACAGAACTGGTGCATGTCTCCCAGCCCTAACACAGAAAGGGAGCAACAGCAAGACAGGCAGGAAGACCACGCAGGTCCTCCCACCACTCCCACCTCTCACGTTTGCTTAAAGGAGGAAACATGGGGTAGATGAGAAGTGGTTATGAAGGAGAGGGTGCAAGATAAAGTTTAAAAGGCAACTTACAGGGGACATCCCTTTCCACAGACCCAGAAGACTCTCGGTGCGGACCACCTGCAGGAGCAGAGTGAGCATTCCAATGCGCCTGGATCTGGGGGCAGACAACAGGGAGGGAAAGTCACAGACCACATCCGCATGGGGAACTCCCTGCTCCAAGACTCCTCTGCGTGGACCCTTCAGGGCACTTAGAATCTACAGTGCGTCTTGGAATCTCGGAGTTCTTAAGTGTCATGATTTGACACTTACATGTTTATCTGCCCAGTCATCCTACAAACAATGGAATAACCTGATTTATCCTTCCAGTTCATGCATATTTAGTACACTGCCCACAGTGCTGAGCCCAAGGCGGGGAAGCAAGAAAGACACTCCATACTGGCAGCACAGGGACACGATGGGCTAGCACAATAACAGGCAAATGTCACCCCGGCAGATCCAGGAAGCTGCTCAGGGCAGGACCCCGTTCAATCAACATTAAATTACATCAATTACACTAATTAATATAAAAAAATATTCACAGAGAAGATATACACAAAACCCATGAAGGTAGGGCCTGGCCTGCTTCCAACAGCCAGCAGCCAACAGAATGGAGGTGGACTTCACACGGTACAGGTGCTCCTGGCCGGAGAGAGGTTCTGAGACCAGTTCCTCAGGGAAATGGGGGGCAGCAGGCCTTACCCATGGGCTGAGGGCTGGAGCATCTGCAGGCGTGTTTTGAGGAGATCCAGGGGCTGGAAAAGGAGGGTAGAGCAGGTGCCACTGATGGAGCCGCACAGGAAAGCCTTGATCACCGGGTGCAACTGCAGGGCAAGAGAACGCTGTCAGCGGGGCAGCCACAGGCGGCCTCACCCGGGGAAGGACCTCCTAGAAACCACCTGGTGGCGCCCTCTACTGGCTTCATGCTCGGGAGAAGGGAAAACCGCAGTCAGTAGTGAACGGGGCTGCAAGGTTGCTGAGAGCATAGTACACGGCAGGGCGCTCTCTGGTCTCCATATTGATACCTTGGCTCCCACTGGGCGACATGTCTATTTCATCTGTGTCCCCACAATAAAAATGATTGGCTATCTCCTTATCTTCACAAAAGCAAAACCGACTGAACACAGTGTTTGGACTCTGAACGGCTGGTTTCCAGGCTACCCGGCCGCAGGGCCTGCCGATGCTTATAGGAACAAGACAAAGGAAATGAAACCTTAAGCTCGGCCACAGTAAGACCATAGGCGCCACTTCCTGTGAAACCTATGGGTTTCCTTCATTTAAAATTTTCCCCTTTCCTGACACCACCCATCTCACTGAGACCTATGCAGCTGGCTGAGGGTGCGGTAGCCCGGTGGCCTGTGCTGGTTTTGCTGGCTCTCCTCTAAGTCAGGACTGTCACACACCGATGAATCCAGAGGCACCACCCGGAAGGGCAGCAACCCATCAAAAACGAAATGTCCTCCCCCAGGCAAGCTGCAGAGCCTTCACAGCATGCCCCAGGATCCAGCCTCGGTTACATGGGGCTGTGAAAAGTCACTTGCAAAAAAAAAAGAAAAAAAAAAAAAAGAAAAGTCACTTGCACAAATCCAATCAGCCCCCCACCCTCCACCCCCGCCCCGTTTCCCCAGCTGCTGGTGTTAAGATGAGTAGGACGAGCCGGCCTTCCAGTGCTTTGACAAAACCTCAGCTGCGCAGCCTTCTGGCCACACGTCTGCGATTCATATTGTTGGAGCGATCACTGCATCCCCGGGGTTGCAGCTTGCTGTAAGTGTTGTGTGGCTGAACCAAGAAAGAAGACATTTGCAGATTTCTACAGAAATTACGATCCCAAGAAAGATTTTGAGGAGATGAGGAAGACTGACATCTTTCAGAGTGCAAAGTGCCTTTGGAATGTCAAGAATCTCTCTGGGTTGTGTTCCACGGAAGTTTGTCACTGACCTGAGTCCCTGAACTATGGAACATGAATATCTGAGCTAAGGAATAGCTCTTGATAGATAAACAATTAAAAAATACTGTGAAAAATAAAAATCTAGTCAAGAAAGAAAGCCTTCTCCAAAGAATTACTTGGCAAGCTCCATTCAAAACGGTCTTCTCCCACTCGTTATTTATTTTTTTTAGTATATTTTTATTGATTTCAGAGGGGAAGGGAGAGGGAGAGAATAGAAACATCAATGATGAGAATCACTGATCGACTGTCTCCTGAACGCCCCCTACTGGGGAACGAGCCTGCAACCTGGGCCTGTGTCTTTGACTGGAATCGAACCTGGGACCCCTCAGTCTTCAGGCCTACGCTCTATCCACTGAGCCAAACCAGCTAGGGCCCCCTTGCTATTTTTAAATAAATGGCATACATGGTCCTAAAACACTATTAAGATGAATATAAAGTTGCCTTTATGCACATCATGTAACCAAAATGATTATGATCTGTGATATTTGCTTTCCAGAGAAGAGAGATCATTCCACATTCCACCAAACGACCAAGTCGCAAGTTATAAGTTATAATCTCTTACTTAAAAAATTGTTGGGGAAAGGGTTAGATAAGTTCAGACAGTAAGTAGTGGAGTTTATAACCACGTTCAGGCAGCTTGTAAAAGTATCAAAGGATGGTAGAATTGGCAAGACAACCTGGCCAGTGGCTCAGTGGTTGATTCCCAGTCAGGGCACATGCCTGGATTGTGGGCTTGATCCCCAGTGTGGGGTGTGCAGGAGGCAGCCGATCAATGGTTCTCTCTCATCACTGATGTTTCTCTCTCTCCCCCCTTTCCTCTCTGAAATCAATAAAAAAATATTTTTTAAAAAAGAATCGGTAAGACAACAGTGAAACAGAGCAAAATTCGTAGTACTACAGGTCTGTGTCACAAAGCCCCTCCCCCAAGGAGCGGGGCCTGCTCCTTCTGCTAACACATATTCATCCCCCAAGTGTTGTGTTTTTCAGCCTCGTCCGAGACGTCACCAATGAGCGTTCTTCCCTGCACTCTTGGCCTCTCCGACCCAGAGGCATCCTCTCCGTTGCCTGGAAACAAGCTCATAAGCCCCCCCAGCTTCCCAGCTCCACGGCCAGCCCTCTCCTCTCCCTCTTCACCCCTCAGGCCCCCACCATCACCTGCCACCCAGCCGAGGCTTCTCCACTAAGCTGCCCTGTGAGCTTGCCAAGGACCCACAGCACCCAGGACCCCATTCCCGTCTTTATCCGTTTCTTACGTGGCTTCTCTGGTGCATCTGAGATGGCTGATGGCCTCCCCTCTCAGTTTGGGATTCTCTCTCTTCTTCCGGCTGCCCTGCTGTGTCTCCTTTTCCTCGGCCTGCCTGCAGATGTTGCTGTTCCTCTTATCTCCTCCAGCTGCAGCCTCTTAGGGCAACCTCACCCTGCTCACGCCCACGCCCACACCCACACCTCCAGCCCAGGAGCCTCCGTCCAGACACCGATATTCCCACGCCCCCTCCACCTCCCATTGGCACACAGGCATCTCAAACTCAACATTCCAACACGGAAACTCAGCCAACAGTTCTCCACACACTTGCCTCCTCTCCAATCCACAACGACTTATCCCATGGGAAATTTATAAGACTCCTCAGTCTATCTACTGCTTCAGGACCAAGCCCTGCTGATGACCCCTCACCCAGAGTCTGCCCCCACTGATCCATCCTGGTGGCCTCCTGGGCATTCTCCAGCCCTAACTGTGCCAACCCACCCTCCACCGTGCTCCCAGAGCAGCACTGGGCAAGGCACCTACACCCACCACCTCAAAAATCTCACAACACTTAAGAGCTAGGTGTTTACCCATTTGGCAAATGAAACTAGAGCTCACACAGGTTACAAATGTGTCTAAGACCCAGCGTTTGAAGCAATGGGCGGGGACTCAAAGTTCAGGCTCTTTTCACCACACTCCCAGCCTGAAGTGGGCACTTGGCTCCACTGTTGACCACTGCTGGCTTCGTCTTGGGATGCTCTCTCCTGGCTTCAGGGATTGCATCCCACTTCTCTGGCCTCTTTTTTGGGTGGAAACGCTCCCCTTCTTTCCCTGACAACAGTCCACTCCCATGGCTCCATCTCCAGCCCTCTGTCCACACTTGCAACTCCTTCCAGAGCTTCAGACCCACATATCCATGTACTCAGCTGTGCCACAGGCACATTTCCAAACCTGAACTCATCTCCCTCCCTCACCCCCAACCTGCTCCTTCTCCTGGCTGCCCTATCCCAGTGAATGCCATGCTATTTACCGACCCACTGCCCTAGCCAGAAACCTGGGCAGCTCCCCTGACTCGGTCCCTCTGCACCTGCTCATCCTACCTCCTAACACAGTGGTTCTCAACCTTCTGGCCCTTTAAATACAGTTCCTCATGTTGTGACCCAACCATAAATTATTTTCGTTGCTACTTCATAACTGCAATGTTGCTACTGTTATGAATCGTAATGTAAATATCTGATATGCAGGATGGTCTTAGGCGACCCCTGTGAAAGGGTCGTTCGACTGCCAAAGGGGTCGTAACCCACAGGTTGAGAACTGCTGTGGACCTAACAGCTCTCAAATTCACCTGCTGTCATCCCAGCTCAGGGCCCCAGCATCCTTGGTGACAGCCACCACCTCTTCCCTCACCTCATCTCTTTGATCCCTCTAGCCTGCAGCCACAGTCATCTTTTAAAACTGCAAATCTGACCACACTGCTTCCAGGCACAAACATCTTCAGGGAGAGACTTGAATTAAAATTTAAAAACAATGCTGTTTGTTTCTATTCCTCTCAGGACAAAGTCCAAACTGCTGGTTTGCAGAACCTTCCATGAATCAACAGGCCCCATCTTATCTTTGTTGCCTGTGCTCTCAGCCTCCTGCCTCTTACACTCTGCAGTTACAATGGACTCTCTGCCTTCTTCTCACCTGTGAGAACTCTGCCCACGCTCCTCCCATGTCTAATTAATCAGGGCCTCCGCTTAGACCTAACCCCCATCCGTGCTTCCACCACACCTGAGCCCATGTCCCTATGACTGAGGGTCCAGGACAGGTCCTGGTTGTACAGCTCATGGGTACCTCTAGCATGGAGCCTGGTACACTGTAGGTGCTCAACTGTCAAAAATGAATGAATCATTTGCCAAAACCGGTTTGGCTCAGTGGATAGAGCGTCGGCCTGCGGACTGAGGGGTCCCAGGTTCGATTCCGGTCAAGGGCATGTACCTGGGTTGCGGGCATATCCCCAGTAAGAGATGTGCAGGAGGCAGCTGATCGATGTTTCTCTCCCATCGATGTTTCTAACTATCTCTCTCCCTTCCTCTCTGTAAAAAATCAATAAAATATATTAAAAAAAAAAATGAATGAATCAGCCCTGGCTGGTGTGGCTCAGACGTTTGGGGTGTCATTGGAACATGAGAGATCTTGGGTTCAATTCCCTGTCAGGGCACATACCCAGGTTTTGGGTTCCATCCCTGGTTGAGTTGCACGCAGGAGGCAACCAATCGATGTTTCACTCTCACATCAATGTTTCTCTCTCTTCCTCTCACAGGTTACAAATATGTCCTATAAAACCAATAAAAAAGCAGGTGAGGATTAAAAAAAGAACCTTCTCCATTACATAAACTATCTTTTTCACATCCTTTTTTCATAGCACAGTGCTTAGGCATATTATTGGCTCAATAAATATTTGAAAAATATATAAATAGAGCCGATAACTATTTGATTTTTTCCTAAATAGCCAAAATTATTCAAGGTAAATAAAATGAGTAATCCAGTTTCTTTGTTTTGTAGGGCAAAAAGAACCAAACTATACTACACAGGTACACAAATAGTAGCACTTAAATAGTCAGCAAACTAGTTCCCCAAGCAATTTTTACACCCCTTTAAAAAAAAAAAAAAATCCTAGCCCAGCCGGCATGGCTCAGTGCTTGAGCGTCAACCTATGAACCAGGTGGTCATGGTTCTATTCCTGGTCAGGGCACAAGCCAGGTTGTGGCTAGATCCCCAGAAGGGGGCGTGCAGGAGGCAGCAGATGGATGATTCTCTCTCATCCGTGATGTTTCTCTCTCCCTCTCCCTTCATCTCTGAAATCAATTAAAAAAAAAAAAAAGTTTAAAAGTAAACAAGGAAATCCTAAATCCAATTCAATTGTAAATCCGATAAATCTCCGGGCCAGAGCTTGACGTAGCAGCCCCGCCTCCGTCACCACCAATGGGGACTCGGTGGCTCAACCGCGGCAGCCAATCCGGACGCCCGGGGGCGTGGCCTCGCGGCGCCGGCCGACCGCACCCCTTCCCTGCCCGCTGGGGGCTGGAGACCCGAAGATGCCCCTCCCTCCGCCCGCAGCGATGCCAACGTCTCCGCCTTGGCCTTGAGATGGTCCAAATAACTGCCCACTGTCCTCCCCCTCCGTCACTCCAGGCACCCAACTCTAAGCGGCGACCCGCAGCGCTCGCACCTCGTTTGGGGCCTCACGTGCACATTCCCCGACCCGCCCCCCCCTCCCCGACCTGTCCCGCCCCCCGGGCCCGGCAATTCCGCCCATCTCTACCCAGATACCATTCACTGCACCGGCGCGACCTTTGGTCGTGTGTCCCAAGCTGCAATCCTCTCCTCCCTCCTCCCTCCTCGCCAAGCCCCCCAATCTGCACGCACCCGGGGCGCGGGAAAGGGTCCACAAGGGCCGCTGAGCCTTGGCAGCCTCCCTGAGCCGGCAGCCCGGGACCCTCTGCCTTCCCTTCCCCGCAGTTTACCATAAGCGTTTCCATCCTGTCTCCCACATCCTGAGGTTGCAGCAGCGCCGGGCGTGACTTCTGAATCATGGAGGAGGTCTGCGAGTGCACGGGACTCGGGGGGCCGTGGGCGGCAGCTCCGGCCCGGCCCTGGCGACTCTGGAGGAGATGACGCGTTTCTAGGCGGGGGCTCGCTACCGTCTGCACCTGTCGGCGTTGGGACCTGCGGGGTCCCGGGCTGCGCGCGTGGCTCCGGGCTGGCGTACGAGCCTGCGCCCGGGAACCACGAGCAGCTTTTCACTCGCTGGGCAGACACCGCGGCTCTGCCCTTCGGTACATCCTGCCCAGACTTCAGGGCTGGAGAGGATTCGGCTCAATGTATCAGGGGTGGAGAAGGCTGGAGGAACTAGAAAGAGCCCGGGGATTTAACTTCCGGGGTCGGAGGCTGGCCTGGAGCAGGTGAGGGCGCGCTCCTTACTGCCACCTGGTGAAGACATCGGAACTGCAGGACCCGCCGTTTCCCTGCCCCCACCCCGGAGCATGGTAGGTACTTCCGGAGGAATTTTGTTTTGGGGGCTGTTCCAGGCTCTGGGGATACAGCAGTGAATAAAACAGATGAAGTTGATGCCCTCATGGGGCTTACTTCCTAGTAAGTAATAACAGGTAACATTCACTGTTGTACCTGTACTGTTCTGTTTCTTTGTGTGTGTGTGTTTTTTTAATTTTTTACAGAAAGGAAGGGAGACGGATAGAGAGTTAGAAACATCGATCAACTGCCTCCTGCACACCCTCTACTGGGGATGTGTCCGCAACCAAGGTACATGCCCTTGACTGGAATTAAACCTGGGACCTTTCAGTCCGCAGGCTGATGTTCTATCCACTGAACCAAACCGGTCAGGGCGGTGTTTCTCTGTTTTATCTCTTCTGATACTTTCATACTTGGGTTATCGCATATATAGTTCAAATTCAGATTTTACCAACTGTACCCAAACGGTCCTTCACAGCACTTCCCCCTGGATTTAGAATCCAATTTAGGATTATATACTTGTTAGCGGTCATGTCTCTTTAGTCTCCTTCAATCTGGAATAGTTCTTCAGTCTTCCCTTGACATATTCTTAACATATGACACATATAACCAAACGCATACAGAACTAAGCTCCAGTTCTTCTACTGCAGGCGACTCTTGTCACTGTCAGCTACTGAATGGCAGGTAGGTGGCATCAGAACACAGCTTCGTAACCCTGTATGATCCTCTCACATAAATCAAAGGTATGTATTTTACATGTAAGGAAACTAACTGAAGCATTTAAAGTAAGTTGCCTAAAATTCCACAGCTAAAAAAAAAGTAACAAAATAAAATTCGCCCTGATTAATTTTATCCTTTGGATCCCTGCTATACAAGCCCAGTCATTTTACCCCAGAAACTTCAGTCACTCAAAACAAAATACTTTTATTTTGTATGCAAAAGCATTGAAATAAGAATTATAACAGCACTTGAAAGTGTTTTTGAGAAAGGTTTCCTATATACAACTTCAATACATTCCTACTAATACAAGTATAATGTGAAATATATCTTGTGTCTATAACCAAATTTCTAAGACTAAAAAGATACTCAGACCCCAGTATAAACCATTTTTGTCCTTTGGAAGAGGAGTGGCTGGGAAAGCAGAGACCCACTTTGAGGCACCGTCCTCACAAAATGTAGTCTATGCTGGAGGAACGGGTGGAGTGCTGGTAGGAGGAGGATGGTTTCTCCCCCATATCCTTGATGATTGGCCTCCCCAAGAAGAGGAAGATGTGGTTGCAACTTTTCTGAAATATTTCTGAGAGGTGTTTCTTGAACTTCTCACCCACGAAAGCATAAATAACAGGGTTCACGCAGCAGTGAGTGAAGGAAATGATTTCTGTGACATGGGTGGCATAAATCAGCTGCTGGCTCATGGCACATCCGTCCAAGACGTGCAGGTCATGCAGGGAAGTGAGGAAGAGGACCACATTGAATGGGACCCAGAAGACTAAAGATGCGATCACCACGATGAGTACCAACTGGATGGCCTTGGTCTTGTTCTGGTTCTGGCAACTCTTGAGCTGGTGCAGGATGCTAATGTAGCAAAACATTAGGATGGTGAATGGGATCAGCAGGCCAAAGATATTTATTTCAAAGTGGGTGAAGAGCTTCCACTTTAAAGTCTGGTGATTGTAAGACGAATAACACTGGAGGACGCCATCTTCAGAGGCCACTTGGTAAAATACGAGCAGTGGGCTGGTGGCCATGATGGCGACCAGCCAGACTCCCAGGCTCAGGGCTGTGCCCATTCTGGCTGTCCTCACGTTCATGGCATACACAGCGTGGACAATTGCCAGGTATCTGTCCACGCTCATGAGGGTGATAAAGAACATGCTGCTGAAGAAGCCAATGTAATAAAAGCCAGAGACTACCTTGCACATAACAGTCCCAAACACCCACTGGTCGAGCTGATAGTGAGTCTGAAAGGGGAAGGAGAAGACAAAAAGCAGGTCAGACAGGGCCAGGTTCAAGAGGTAGATGTCTGTGATGCTCTTCAGCTTCTTGCAGATGACAAGGACCAGGATGACCACGCTGTTTCCCAGAAGACCGAACACAAACAGGAGGCAGTAAAAGATGGCGAGAAGCAATTTGCTTTCTCTCTGGATAACTTCCCCATCACAGGGGCTTGAGAACATATCAGGGTAGTAGTAGTCACTTGTTGTCATGTTGGGTTCGAGTGTATAATCCATCAAGGCAGGAGGACCTGGTCACGGAGTACCTAAGAGATATTCAACTTTAAAAATATTTTAATTCAAAAGTACAGACTGAATGTGCCTCCCCAACTCCCAACTCATATATTGAAGTCTTAAAGCCCTGTTTCAGACTAAACATTCTTGCTTCTCTCTCAAGAATTCAAAATGAATCATAGCTCAGTTTCACACAGACCTGATTTAGATGATATCTAGATGAAGCTTTTGATGCTGGAATGGGTTAAGATTGTGGAAGATGTTGAAATGGAGTGGATGTATTTTGCATGTAAGAAGGACATGAATTTTGTGAGACTAGAGTAATGGACTGATGTGTGTCCACCCCGAAAGTCAGATATTGAAGCCCTAACCCCCAATGTGATGTTATTCGGAGATAAGGCTTTAGAAAGGTAATGAAGATTAAAAGAGGTCCTACGAGTGGCGCCCTGATCTGATTAAACTGATGTCCTCATAAGAAAAGGATGAGATACCAAAGACCCCCCTCTCTCTGCAAATTCTTTGTAGCAATTTTTGTGTGTGATATATCTCCTTGGGCAAGGGAAACAAAAGAAAAAAAACCCCACGAACAAATGGGACTATATCAAACTAAAAAGTTTTTGCACAGCAAAGGAAATGATCAACAACATGAAAAAACAACTCACTGAATGGGGTAACATATTTGCCAATGATGCATTGATAAGGGGTTAATATCAAAAATTTATAAAAAAACTCAACACCAAAAAAACAAACAATCC